ACACACACACACACACACACACACACACACACACACACACACACACACGATAATTATTTTTAGGGTTAGAGAGATAAGCAGATATTAAGATCACTTGCTGCTTTTGTAGAGGACCTCCTAGCACCAACATGGTAGCTCACAATAGTCAGTAACTTCAGTTCTAGGATATTTGGTGTCCTTTTCTGGCCTCCTTTGGCACCAGGCATATAAGTACACAAGCGTACATGCAGACAGACACTCACACATATAAAAATAATAACTTTAATCCCAGCACTTAAGAGACAGAGGTATGTGAACCTTTTTTTTGTTGTTGTTTTTCGAGACAGGGTTTCTCTGTGTAGCCCGGGCTGTCTTGGAACTCATTCTATAGACCAGGTTGGCCTCAAACTCAGAAATCCGCCTGCCTCTGCCTCCCAAGTGCTGGGATCAAAGGCGTGCGCCACCACCACCACCCCCCCGGCGTCTTTTTATTTTCTTAAAGGGATTTATTTACTTATTTATTTATTTATTTGTTTAACGTATGAATGCTCTACTGAATGTACACTCACATGCTATCAAATGCCCTTTATAGATGGTCATGAGTTAACATGTGGTTGCTGGGAATTGAACTCAGGACCTCTAGAAGAGCAGCCAGTGCTCTTAACTGCTGAGCTATTTCCCCAGCCCCCTCAACTAGTCTTACAGCTGGTTAAGATATCATGTATACTTTGATGATTCCCAAGTGTATTATCTCCACTTCAACCTCTTATACTAAATTCTAGGTTTACTCAATGTCTCTTTTGGATGAGTTGATGCCATCTCACACCCAAATTAGTTACTTTCCTTGTCACTGTGACTAAATACCTGACAGAAACAGCTTAATGGAGAAAATTATTTGGGCTCATTGTTTCAGAAGGTTCAGTGTACCAGCACTGTCTCAGGATGTGATATTCAGTATTTTAATATGTTGATAAGAATGTACTAGTAGTAGGACTGGCAAGATGGCTCAATGGGTAAATTCTGATAGATGACTTTAGTTCAATCTCAGGAAAACACACACACACACACACACACTCAGACCCAGGGGGTGGGGAGGGAGGGAGGGAGGGAGGGAGAGAGAGAGAGAGAGAGAGAGAGAGAGAGAGAGAGAGAGAGAGAGCGCAATCTGTTTGTTCTACATTTCTGTCTCTCATGACCTGTTCTTATCAATTTTGTCCCCAAGTGTTGTCAACCAGTTCTCTTTGTAACACTCACAATGCTCCTCTTTTACCTGAATTGTTACAAAAATTCTTTCCTCTGAAACTAATTCTGTCACCTTTAAGCCTAACCTCTACATTACGGCCAATCTAACTTTACAAGACAGAGCTAAAAATTCACTCAGTTTGTGCTGGGCTAAAAACAGCTTAAGTGGCTAGAGCCCACTATATGTAAAAGATCATTCAACCTTTTCTATAAAGGATCAAATAATAAGGGGTTGAAAAAATGGCTCTGTGGTCAAGACCACTTATTTCTCTTGTAGAGTACCTAGGTTTGATTCCTAGCTCCCACATGGTGGCTCACAACTATCTGTTAACTCCAGTTCTAGGGGACCTGATTGTCTTCTTTTGACTTTCGAAAGCACCAGGCATGTACATGGTACATATACCTGTAGGTATATGTACAGACATAAAATAAGTAAAAAATTTTAAAAAATTAAGTGGTTTGGCTTTGCAAAAATTAAAGCCTACATTCTAACTATTCAACTCTAATATTGGAATATAAAAACATATTAAACAATATGAGCAAATAGGTTTAGTGGGCTAAAAATTCATTTATAAACTATAATGTAGTAACTTATGTCTAATCATGTCAAATGTTTTATTTCATTCCTTTTTAAAATTTTATTTTACATGACATTTTGTCTGCCTGCATGTCTGTGTATCACTTGCACGCCTGTTCCCTGAGAAGGCCAGAAAAGAGTGTTAGGTATCCTGAGACTAGAGTTACATATAGTTGTGAGCCACTATGTAAGTGCTGGGAATCAATGTGGGTCCTATAGAGGACCAGCCAATGCTCTTAACCAGTGGGCCCTCTCTCTAGTACATTTCATTTCACACTTACATGCTATTATAAAACTGCTTACTTCCATGCATCATGCATGGACATTTCTGTTTACAGGCCTTACTCAACTTTTCCTGGATAATTAAAACTGTTTAAGAGTTAGCCAGACAGTTCCTATGAGCCACCAATAAGTTTCATCTGGGTCTGACTGGTTTTCTGAGTCAGAACTCGGAAAGGTTTTAACTATTGCTTTATCTTCTCTTTTTACTTTTTCTTTTATATGCTGGCTAGAGCCCAAGTATGCATGTAACTCGGATGCTTTGGGCTACCCTACTCTTTTTCTAAAGCTCTCCCTACCTGCTGTCCACTGCCATGTGCATGGCTAACACAAAGAATATAGTTTTAAAACATTTAATCTAATTCCAAAACTAGAATTTCAGAGAAGACAGAAATAATCTTTAAGTTCTTATACTAAAACTTACTTCAGTTTGAAGAGCCAGTTCTACTTGGTCGTGATAGGAACCTAAGAGTTCTTCAACAGGGTGTCTGAAAGAAAAACAGGTATCATGGCTGAAGACTATCTTAGACAGAAGTAGCTGTGTTGATCACAGAAAATAAATATATTCATACCCAAAACAGAGTTTGAAAACTTGTAATGAATGTTTTAGATGCTATACCTTGTCATGACTTCTTTATAAGGTTTTTCTATTTGATACAAGTATTTGTTTAAATCCACAGGTGCTTCATCATCTTCTGCCTAAATAAATACATATATACATGTTTAAGAAGAATCAAATATAATAATTTGGTCAGTCTATCAAATTAAGTATAGTTGAATAGATGATGAAATATTAAAAGTAGACTAATTTTTGAGGACTGGCGATAAAATGCTATCAAAACTATTTATAATTGACTCAATATGTTAGTTAATATTAAGAAAATTTCATTTTTTAATTACTTTACTTGGGACTGGAGAGATGGCTCAGGGATTAAGAGTACTTGCTGTTCTTACAGAGGATCTGGATCTGGCTCCTAGCATCCATATGGTGGCTCACAATCATCTGCAATTCCAGTTCCAACAAATCTGGTATGCAGTTCTGGCTTCCATGCATACCAGGCGTGCATAAAGCATACATACATACATACATACATACGTACATACATACATGTAAACACTCAAGCACATTGAATAAAAATAAATCTTTAATTGTTTTATTATTTATTTACTTTTGCAGGCATGTATACAAGGGTGTGTGCATACCTGCATGCAAACATGTGTGCAGACCAGAAGTCAATGTTATATATCTTCCTCTATTGCTTTCTAGCTTATGTTTTAAGACAGGACAGGCTCTTTCCCTGAACTTGGAGCTAATCCATTGGCTACAATGGGCTGGTCAGCCAGCCTGGGAGGTCTGTCATTCTTTTTCTCCTTAGTGCTGGGATTATGGAAATGTTCTGTTATCCCTAGCTTTTTACAGATACTGGGGATCCAAACTCAAGTCTTCAGGCACTTTATCCATTGAGTTACTAGCCCTGTACACCCCTGTTAATTTTAAAGAGAAGGTTTCATGAAACTCAGACTGGCTTTGAACTCTTGACCCTTCTGTCTCCTTCCTGGGATTATCAAAGCATACTACCATATCTGAACAAAACTTTTATTTTTAAAAAGGCATTTTTATTGTGTATGGGTATTTTTTCTGCATCTATGTGTATCTATTGGTGCATCATATATATGCATGATGCATCATGTGTGTACCTGGTGCCCTGAGAGGCCAAAACAGGGTGTTAGATCCCCTAGAACTGAATGAAGTTACAGATGGTTATGGGCTATTGTATGGGTACGGGGAATCAAACCTAGGTCTTCTGGAAGAACAGCCAGTGTACTCTTAACCCCAGAGTCCTCTAGGTAGCCACAAAACTTCTATTTTACAGAGCCAGCAGTATGGCTCAGAGGACAAAGACATTAGTCCCTAAGCCTGATGACCTGAGTTCTATCCTTGGGACTAACATGGTATAAAGAAAGAATCAACTCTCACAAGTTGTCTTCTGACCTAAACACAGCCATATCCTGGCATGTTTGAGTGTACACACACACACACACACACACACACACACACACACACACCATAAATGTAATATATTTCTTAAAAATGGAAAAGATAAATGTTCCTAAATCTAGTTTATGATGAACAAATAAAGTCAAAACTAAGCTGGGCCAGATGGTGCATACCTGTAATCCAGCTACAGCAGCAAATCTGAGGTCAGTATGGTCTACTTAAGGAACTCCAGGACAGCTGGAGCTATGTAGCAAGATCCTATATCTCAAATAATCAATGGAGAAAGAGGGTGGGCAAAAATCTAGGGTGGGACCATATGAGGACGAGATCATTTGAATTTCTGCCTTTCTTTCTCAGTAGGTTTTGTCCCATTCTCTGCTCATCACAACTGAGAAAAGCACTAGTTTCTCCTGCCACTCCACACTATGCAAACATATTCGAGAGAAACTGAAAACCCTTATTTAGTATTCTAACCTCTTTCTTCTTCTTTTTTTCTCTGTTAATTAACCCTGAAATTTTCTTTCCTGTGTAAGACTATTAAATATGAGACTGTGCTCTTGCAATGAACTAGGTAAACTTATCTTTTTCTTTAAAACCTAAATGAAAAAGCAAGGGCTAAGGACATAGCAAAGTTAGTAGAATGACTGGCACAAAGCTCTCAGGTCAGCATGAGTGGCACAAGGTGGTAATCTGTAGCTACACAGTGAGTTCAAAGCCAGTCTGAAATAAAGGAGACTTATCTCCTTCAAATAAATAAATAAATAAATAAATAAATAAATAAATAAATAAATAAATAAGGCAGACTTCATTCTTTCATTTTGCTTTGCAAATTTATACTTGTAGATCTGAGGAATGTGCTACTTAAACTTCCATGACTAAAGATCTGAAGAGATTACTGCTGGAAACAAGTGTATCATCCCATCATCCCAGCCTGGTGCAGAAAAAAATGGAAAACATAGACTGAAAATCTATTAACTATTAGAATTATTCAGACTCACTAAATGAAATTTAGAAACACTTACTGTTCGAGCCAGATTCTGGCACATTGCATTGAAGGCCAAGAGCTGTAATTTAATCTCTGTGTCCCATTTTCGACAATTTTGAATATGTTCATGACTTCCAAGGCAATGATTACTGTTAAAATACATGAATTATCCACCAGTATTATTCTATTCAAATCACAAGTTAATAGACATAAAAGTAAAATACAAATTGTACCTGTATCAGAAATTGAAGAAAATGGTGAAACACTGTTTTTAAATTAACCATAAACATTTAAACAGGAATTTTTCTATATGAGTCAGTAAATATGAAAGAAGATGAAGAGGCAAATAAGAATATAATGCCCCAATCTTTAAAACAATTGGACTAATTTTAAGCTCTAACAAATTACTGAAGTTCATGCAATGATTATTGCAGGCAAATAAAAGTCAGTAATAACTGACTCCTGTATATATAGTAGCTGTATGCCACAAAGGAGAATAAAGTCTAGAAATAATGTGATTACTGGCCTTTTAGAAGAAGGCATTTTATTCTGTTTCTAACCAATCGACTACAACTTTTCACATATAAGGCTATTAAACTTAAGAGAATATCATATCTTTCTTACTACTAAAATCCCACCACTATCTTAGATACAGCATATCTCAACACAAGTTTCAACAATAGGACAAAATATATTTCCTATATTTTATAAATATATAAGAAATAAAAATATAAACGAATGAATGACAGTGTATCACTCTGTAGCTCTGGCTAACCTGTAATTCAATATGCAGACCAGGCTGGCCTCAAGCTCACAGAGATCCAACTGCCTCTGCCTTCCAAGTCCTGGGATTAAAAGCACAAGACACCATGCCTAACATCCAAATATATTTTTAAATTACAAATCTAAATTGAAAAAGATTCTAATTTAAGGTATTAAAAATGAAATTTCCAAAGATACCGCTCAGTAGTTAAATAAACTTACTTCTGTAGAACCTCCTCTTGACCACAAACTTTCAGAATGTAGCTGCCAACATCCACTTGATTCAAGTCATCATGTACCCAGCAAAGGGCTTGCATTATAATTATTTCTACAGTAGAACTCACTGAAAAAGAGTTAGTTATCATTTTCATTTTGCTCATTTACCTCTAAGTATTACTTATAATCTAAGAGAATACTGTACAACAGAAATATAATGCAAATTCAATTTGCAGTCACATGTATTACTTTAAATTTTCTTTGTTTGAGATAGGGTCTGATTATGTACCCCTGTTTGGCCTGGAACTTACTTTGTAGACCACATTGGCCTCAAATTCATTGAAGGGCTAGAGATGGCTCAGCAAGTTAAGAGCACTGGCTGCTCAAATTCTAGCACCACATGACAATTTATAACCAGCTGTAACTCTAGTTCCAAGGGATCCAATACCCTCTTCTGGCCTCCAAGGATACTAGGCATGCAAAATGAAAAGCACACAGGCAAAACACTCACAAATTAAAAAAAAAAAAAAAAGACAGGTTCATCTGCCTCTACCCCTTGGCTCAACCACTTAAATTTTTCTAATAGCCACGAAAACAGAAAAAGAAGCTAACCTGGGAAGTAAGCAAGGAGGCAAAGACTTTGTGTGGGGGTTGGGGGCACACGTGCAGACTGACCTTGAACTTCTGATACTTGTTTCTGCATCCTAAGTGTTGGGGTTATAGGTGTGTACCATGATGCCTAGTTTATATGGTGCTGAGAATCAATAAAGCTTATCTTATGGATGCTAGACAAGCACTCTACCAACTAATCGACATCTCTAGTTTTGCAAAACTAATTTTAATAATATATTTTATTTAGTCTAATATATTAAGAATATTAGTTTAGAGGCAGGAGTATCATGAGTTTAGTCTAGTCTGAGTTACATAAGAAGACCCTATCTTAAACAATAAACTGTGTTGATATATGATTTTTCACATTGTTAGTATTTTTTAAATTACTGAAATATTTTACACTTGTATTTATATATTTTTAGACTAAGGCTCTGAATTCTAGTGTATATTTTGGACCTACAGCATGTACCAATCTAGATGAGCCACATTTTAAGGGCTCCACAGCCTCTATTAACTGTTAAGGCAGTGAAGACCTAAATAAAGTAAGTCACATCAATATTACAGATTCCTTCAAATAGGGCAGTAGTCAGCAGTACATAACAAGCAGTGTCTTAAAACAAATGATAAAGAAAAAAGAATTACTACTTTAGATATTTGTATAGTAAATTTTCCAATGAAGAAAAAAAAAATAGAACAAGTAGGCAGTCGTACTCTTGCAAATATGACAACGAAGAGAAAATTACAGTTTTCAATTTTTTCTTAGATCAGAAATATATGAGTGTTTTGTGCATATATATACATGTATGTATGTATGTATGTATGTATGTATGTATGTATGTATGTATGTATGTATATGCACCACATGACAACAGAGGTCCGAAAAGAGTGTCAGAACACTTGGGACTGGGGTTGAAGCCACACTGCAAGGGCTCCAAAGCCTCCATAAGCTGTTAGATAGTGAGCAGCAATGTGGGTGCTGGAAATTGAACCTAGGTCCTCTGTAAGAGCAACAAGTGCTCTTAACCACTGAGCTAACTTTGCAACCCCAAATTAAAGTTTTTTATATCTATTTCTATACTTAAAACTTTCATGTTCAACTCTTTAAAAAAGATTTATTTATTTATTTATTTATTTAATGTATATAAGCACACTGTCCTTGAAACACCAGAAGAGGGCATCAGATCCAATTACAGCTGGTTGTAAGCCACCATGTGGCTTCATGACCTTTGGAAGAGCAGCCAGTGCTCTTAACCGTGGAGCCATCTCTCCAGACGCCATGTTCAACTTTTATCCCACCGCCCCCCAAGACAGGGTTTCTCTGTGTAGCTCTGGATGTCCTACTAGTTCTACAGATCAGGCCGACTTCAAACTTACAGAGATCCACCTGACTCTGTCTCCTGAGTGCTGGGATTAAAGGTGTGCACCACTACCACTCCCTCAATCCCTCATCCCAGCCATCAATCTTTTATTTTCTTGGCAGTGCGTGACACTGTAACCCAGGCTGGTCTTGAAATCATAACAATCCTGCCTCAGTTTCTAAATGTTAGGATTACTGGCATCAGCCACCAGTTGGGCTGCCTGCTCTTAAACTACATGAATACTAGTGACTTCAAAAGCTTCTATGTACTAAAATATCTTATAAAATAGCTCTATTTTTCAATAGATTCAAAACAAACAAAAACATATACTCTGATCTATACTTCTATCATATTGCTTACATTTTTTCCAGTTCTAAGGATTAAACACAGGGCCTTACTCATATTAAGCAAGAACTGTACTACTGACCTATATACCTTCAGTCCAGTTCCAGAGATATACATTATACATATGCACTTATAACTAATCAATAGATATTTATAATACATTCTGAGCTTAATCAGACTGATGAAATTAAGATTGATACAAATCAACATTTGCTATCAGTTTTTACTCATGCTTAATTTCAAAGCACCACCTGTTGACTCTTTTTAAAAACTTAATATTCTTACTGCATTCTAAATTTAAATGACTTAAAAGGAGTAATTTTCCTTTAGAAATTAAAGAATGACTGTTATAGTTGGCTAACATTTTCTGTATCAGATTTACATTTTTTCAAACAGATTTCCAAAAGTACAAAGCTAACAGGTATTCAAATATTGGACCCATTGCTAGTTACAACAATTAAAGAAAAAAAAGAAAGCCTTCAGTCTTAGACTAAATTACTACTTTAAGAATAGGAAACTTAATTCACCATTCAAATCCTACTTAAATAAAACACACTATAAATAAATCCAGGACACAGTTCTAGAAAGGATATTTACACCAAAGGGAACTACCTTCCCTGCAGAGGAGATTAGAAGTGATCTGAAGGTTCATGTCACTGACAGCTCTCTATAAGAAAGTACTTTTCTTGCCATAAAAGTAGAGGAAAGTATTATTATTAGTTTTGATGGCTAATGCTTTTGGGCCTTAGCTAAAAACCAATTTATTATATTCAGAGAAAAGTCCTGCAATGACCTGGTTCCCTTATCCAGAAAATTTCCCAAATAAATGCAGTAATTTTAAAAGGAAACCTAATGACAAAAAATTTGGTTTACGAGAAGAAAAAATATATTGACATTGAAAACATTTTATTCCTAGTCAACACAATACTTACCATCACATGTAAAAGTAACTGGTAGTTGAAAGCCTTCAATTTCAATGGAGACCTTCACACTGGCATTTTCTCCACACATGTTTCTTTGCACTGTGACTGGGCTTAACAAATAGCCTGGGTTTGTGCACTGATCAGTATATGGAAATTTGGTCTTCAATCTGTTCATGAGAAAGAAGATATTAAATATGTTTTTGTTTTTTTTTTTTTTTAGTTTCTTTAAAGTTGCATTTGAGAACCCTGAACATGCTTTCAGCTACTCAGAGCAGCTCATGAGAATGGCAATGAATGAACTCCTGTTAAAACTCCAAACACCAGCACGTGCCTTTTAAATGAAAGGGAAACAAGAAAAAAGAAGAAATTAACTAGTACCAGAATATCTTTGGTAACACTGTCAACAAGATCCAGGCATTCCAGAGAGGGCCAGCATCAAATGAAGTTCTCTGCTTTAGATTCTTAAGCCGCATGATGCAGTTACATAAAGTGGTCTGTTATAAATGAATTATTAACGACATAAAAAATGTAACTAAACTGTAAATATCTAAGAGGGATAAGAAGTTTCTGTCCTTTCAAAATATTTTTTCTAAGTGAAACTTTTTTTTTCCTGGAAACACTGTGGTTATAAGACAAGGGCGGGAAATGGATTTTCTTAGTGCTACAAGGCTTTACGGTAAGTGCTACGAGGGTACTTTAAAAGTCAGGGTCACATGCAAAGGTATTCATAGGAGCAACGCACTTAGATGTAAATCCATGAATGTAGTATGTGGCACATCTCCAGGCATGACTGGCATTATGGGTATGAGAAGGGAGACAGTGAGATGGCTCCGTGTATAACAGTGCTTGCCACCAAACCTGAAAACCTGAGTCAGTCTCTGGGACTCATATGGTAGAAGAAGAGAACCAACTCCTGCCTGGCATTCTCTAATCTTCACATCTTTACAATCTTTATAAACTTTATGACAACCCCAAGAAATAAACACACACACTTGCCATGGAATGTCCACTGACACATAACTCACACTCACTCATATACACATAAGCACACACAATGAACAAATAAACAAATGTAATCAACATTTTTTAAGAAAGGGGGAGATTTACACTGTCAGTGCATGCTGGAAAAACTGTCACAGGCCCTAGTAACTGACTTTTTCCTGGAGGTTTGTAACAGGTTCCAGTCCCCTTACATAATCAGTTTTTCTTTTCTTTTTTTGCAGTGCTGGGATTGAACCTAAGGCCTCATACATACTAGGAACCTATGCATATACACCACGATATATATTTAGCCAACATCTGTTTTTCATGAGGCCTTAAATGGAATGCATGCTGGAAATACTGTCTATGTGCTTCTATAACTAGTAAACAATTTGGAACTTTCGAGACGGCTCAGTTCTTCCAACAGACCCAGGTTCAATTCCCAGTACCCACATGGCAACCACAACTGTTTGTAATTTCAGTCCCAGAGGATCTGGAATAGATATATATACAAGCAAAACACCAATGCACATAAAAATAAATAAATCTTTAAAAAATAGTAAATGGTTCAAGGCACATATCAAGAATAAAACAGTTTGAAAAGAGAAGAGCAAATGTAACAGTCAATACAAAACTTGTAAGGCAGACTACTTGATTTTGAACCTTATTTTACTATTTGTTGGCTGCATAAATGCAGTTAAGTTACTGACATTATCTTGCTTCAGAGTAATATGACCATTTATTTCTCAGGATTGTCATAAGAATATGTAAAATAAATTATGAAGCATTTAGTCCCTAGTACATAACAAATACTGTAAATATTTTATAAAATAAATGTGGTTCTACATTGTGATCTCAGAAGACACACACACAGGATCCAATATTAAAAAGATAAAATATGAAACTGGAGAGCTAGTTCAAATAGAGAGAGACTGAAAGTGGTTAAAAGTTTATATCGTTCTTGAAGAGTACCCAAGTTTGATTCCCAACACTTATGCCAGGTGGCTCACAATTACCTATAATTCAGCTAGCTCCAGGTGATCCAATGACTCTGGCCTTTACTGGCATCAGCATTCACATGTACATAACTACACACAAACTGTATGTGTATGTCTGTGTGTCTGTATGTATTTTACAAAAAAGTTGAAATGTGATCAAAGTGATATGAGCTGAATTGATATTGGTACTATATTACATGGGGACACTGTAAGATACTTAGTTGCTTCCAAGTTTATCCCTTCATAACACAATAAACTTATAATTGTGTAATAAGCCAATTACAAAATGGCTTATTGTGGGACTGCATAAGGGTATCTTGGTTCTTGGCTGGGCATAGGCTTGGAACCCCGAGACTCCAGGGGAGAAACTGCAGGTGTTCCACCACGTCCCCAGAACCCAGAGTCCTGACGTCGTGCAGTCCTGTCTCCATAGACCTACATTGTTCAGTCACCTAGGCCACTATAGCCCCTCCCAAAGTGCACAGGTAGAGTGACTACAGGCCTCAGGCCCTAGGGATTTACATACTAATGAAGGCCAGAGGGCGTAGCAAATTAAGCATTCTTCCCCATCAACTCAGGTCTGCCCTGAGTTTCAGGGGGGTACATCCAAATCCATCTACCATCCACCATGAAAATAAACCCTTTTGGAACTAAGGACTTTCTCACATCATTGGGGCCTGCCGTTGCCAAAGCCTCCAGCCTCTGGAACCTTAGACTTTCTCCTGTTTGTGGGATCTGCCGAGTGGAAAGTCTCTGGGACCACCTCCACTGCGGCCTATTTTCCCACAGCTTATTCTTATTATTTCACTCATAATTGGCATTATCCTGTTTGCGGATTTATGAAATAACACTGGACCTTTAATCCCAGCACTCAGGAGGCAGAGGTAGGCAGATCTGAGTTTGAGGCCAGTCTGGTCTATCAAAAGAGTGAGATCCTGTCTCAAAAAATTAAATAGAATTCATAAAATAGAAATATGAAATAGAATTCATAAAATAGATATATCAAATCATGCAGTTATCAAATGAATGAGAATGAAGGACTGTCAGTTCAATGTCATCCTTGGTTCTACAGCAAATTCAAGGTGAAACTGGACTGCAGGAGACAGTACTAAACAAACAAACAATTCAAAGATGAAATCAATTTTTGAAAAGATTTGGAATGTCTTGGAATTAAGACACTATTGTGGGAGAGAGGGCATGATCAATGTTATATGTATGTATGAAATTGTCGCAGTGATACTTTTTACATTCCCTAATAACAAAAAGATCATGACATAGGTATGAAACCTGAATCACATATAAAGAAAATGTAGATATGGAATATAGTTTCTCATTTTGTACTATGGAAACATAGAAGCAGCAGTAACCACAGGCCTGGGCTGGAGCTCCATGCTAGTGTCCTAGATTCAATCTTCATTATTCCAAAACAAGCCTACTATATCAACATTCTTTTAAAAACTTTTCTTTAAACCACAACTACTAAATCTAATAAATTTTATCAAGAAAAAGAAATAAAGAAGCAAATATAATGAAAGGCAGTACTAAGTAAAAGACCTTCACTAGTTCAGTTCTTTAATTTCAATGACAAAAGCATAACAACCAAAGTCCAGGCCTAAGGCACTGAGCTGTTAAAACAGATAGATGTATTGTAATTTCAACTGTAAGCACACACAACACTCTAATAGACTGATGCTGATTTCACAGCTTTATCAAAATGATTACATGAATGTTTTTAGAAGACATTTAAAAAGCACGAACTGAGTATTATGAATGTAGCTCAGCAGCTGTGTGCATGCTTGGTTCAATCCCCTGAAAGGTGAGACATTGTAGAAAATTATAAATGAGGCTAGCCTGAGCTACAAAGCCAGTTTTAGTCTCAAATGGGGAGTGAGAAAGAGAGCCAAGAACCTTAGTGTTAGTGGTACAGTGCTTGTCTGGCATATGTGAGGTTCAGGGTTCAACTCTCAGCATTGGGGGAAGGTCTGAGAGTGTGGGTGGAAGTTGTGAGGAAACTGCTGGAAAAAAAAGGAGTCACTTTTGAGGAAACATGCTGAGTCTCCATGTTTCCAGAGCAAACAAGAAAAATTCCTAGAACATAGCTTCAGAAACCTCTAGTTCTTATTGTTCTGATAATTGCTGCAACCATACTATGTATTATTGGATATCTGAGAATGAGAACTCATTTTCTATTTGGTTCATCTAAAGTCACATATTATATAAGCTACTCTGAGCATAAATATGTATAATATAAATAAATACAGCAGCCTCCTTATTTAGCTCTAGTTACTGTCCTGTCAATTATGATCTGAAAATACTTTGAGTAAGCAAAAAGAAAAATCTGCGACCTAATAAGGCAAGGAAAAAAAATCATGTGCTCAGGATGCTAAGATTGATGGTAAATTATTCCCTATCATATAAAAATTACTATTTTTTAACTTAAAAACTTATCTGAGGGGGGTTGGAGAGTTGGCTCACAGTGACTAAAAGCACTTTATGTTCTTGCAGATGAGCAGGTTCAATTCCCAGCACCCGTATGGCAGGCAGCTCACAACTGTCTGTAACTCCAACCACAGGAGGATCCAACACCCTCTTCTGGCACAGGGCATGCACATGGTATACTTACATACATGCAGGCAAAACACTCATCACACATAAAATAATGTCAATTTAAAATTTTATTTACTGTTTTTAATTTATGTGGGAAAGGGGCTTATAGTTGGAGGCCAGAAAACAACCAGAAGGAGTAGATTCCAGGAATCAAACTTGAGTCATCAGCCTGAGGGCAGGCACCTTTACCTACTAAGCCACCTGAGTGACCCCTATAAACTTATTATCTTCAGACACATATATTCTACAAAATGGAGCTTATGTCAGTATTTGTTTTCAGACATCCACTGAAGAGTTATGAATGTAGCTGTCCTAGCCAAAGAAGGACTACTGTAATCACTTTTTTGGGAGGTTTGTGATAACAGCTCTACAACTCAAAAGGCAGATCATAAAGAACTTAATCTTCCAACTTGCAAAGCTTAAATGTAGTACTTAGTAAAAAGCAGTATGAAGGAAACCATATAGCACTTGTTTGGGAAAAAAAGAAATTATGTAAGAAATATAACAGATTATTTCCATAATGGTAAAGATTACTCCTAAATCATTAACCAAAATGGCACATATACTCAAAAATAATCTGAGGCCCCGATGGCCTGCTTAAGAAGGAGATCTTTTTACTGAAGATAGCTCTAGATTCAGAATGAATCCCCTCGTGGTAATTGCTTTCCTTGCATGAGAGACTTTGTCCTCTCAGCCTCAACTGCTACTTCAGTCTTTTGCATAACTTTCCTCTGTCTGGCTAAGAATCATTTTTCCTCTCTGCCAACAAAAGCATCAGAATATAGTCAGTTACCATATTCCCTCTCTTAAGTCCCATTAACAACAGGAGAAAATGAAGTTAAAGTACATGGAGGTTGAATGTGGTAAGAAAAGGAAAGAAAGAAAAGAGAAAGACAGAAAGTCTGAAGAAGGGTCTGAAGGGAGGAGTAAATTGTAAATTTGAGCCTTTATGTTGGCAGATCTATAAGACCTATAAGACTTGAGAAATACAGGCAAAGGATCCAAGTTCAAGTTCATATTTCAATGTACATCAGATATATTCAACATATTGACATATTCAAACATTCAATATGTTGACTATAGCCGATATATTCATAAATATGAATAAACCAACTCCAAATTTTAAAATTTTAAATAAAAAAACAGAATTTAAAAATTAAAAAAAAATTAATTCAAAGCAGCAGCGATGGTACATATCTGTTACTCCAGCACTAGGAAAGCTGAGGCAGAACTATCTTGAGTTCAAGGACAGTATAGCCTATATAGTATGTTCTAGCCTAGCAGGGACTACAGAGTGAGTGCTTCCCTGATTTCTAAAACAAAACAGAGATGGCAAGATAGTTTAGCAGCCAAGTGTTTTTGATGCACAAACCTGACAACTTGAGTTTGTTCCCCAGACCCCACAGAAGAATGTAACACATGCCCTATACAATCACGTAATGGAAACAAACATTTAACCAGAGGCAAAGAAGATGTGGCTCTGTACTGACAGCAGAGAAAACTTTATTAGGGTATTTTTTTGAACTCAGTTTTTCCATCTGTAAAGAATATGGTACAAAGGCTGAAAATAAAGCTCTAACTTGGTATAGAGCCTGCCTAACATGATTGAGGCCCTGGATTCCATCCCCAGTACTGCAGAAAACTAGATGTGGTAGCTCATGACTGTAATCCTAGCCCTTGATAGAAGCAGGAACATCTAAAGTTCAAGATCATCTTCAGCTACAGAGGAATTTGAAGCCAGCCTGGGCTAGAAACCCCTCTCAAACAATAATAACAAAACAAAAAATAATACTGTCCAATACATACAAGAGTGAGAAAATATTTAAAAGCTATATTTTTAAATAAATGGGATAGCATTCTGAATGCTAGATAGTTTGTGAGAAAATGGGCATAGTTTTGTATTCCTATAAACCTAGAACTCATGAGACTGAGGCAGGAAGACTGAGAGTTTGAGGCCAGCCTGGGCTACAAAGTGAAACAGTGTCTCCTAAAACAAAACAAACACACATATACACATACACACATACACATACACACACACACACACACACACTACATACATAAGTGTATTTTTTTGAGAAGATGGAAGTTTGTCTAAAAACAAAACAAGACACTTTCTAGGAATATGGAAGTACATATGCAAGGCAAATCTTCACTTGTTAATAGAGGATCAGAAATCCATTCCTGGCTTCATTTTTTTTCCCTTAAATATTTAGAAGCCTGTCAAGTAAAGATCTATATTCATCTGTGGCTTATGGTATGTGCCAATGAACTGTTTGCTTCAAAATTTTAGCCACAGGAAAAAAATAATTTAAAAAAAAACTTAAATTTTAGGATTGGCATTAAGTAACAACTTTTGGTTTTTGTTTTGTTCGTTTTTGAAACAAGGTTTCACTGTGTAGCCTTGGCTGGCCTGGAACTTAGAGATATACTGCCTCTGCCTTACTCATCTCTGAAGTTTTTTGTTTTAAAGAATCTGTAAATTTATAAAGAAAATTCCTTACTTCATAATGGATTGACAAAAAGCTGCCACCTCCTCATTCTGTACTTCAAATTCTTGTAGAAGAGAGCTTCCAGTTGGCAAACTACTGGTCCCATTTGGGTCTTTCTGTAATCAAAAAAGTGGTTTTATTTTAAAAGTCAAAGATCTCCAAAATGCTACATAGTAGCACCCCACAAGCCAGTTTTATGAAGCTGTACAAAATTAGAGAGATAAGGTGAATCATTTAAGTAGGAGAGCTTTCTATTAGCTTTAACACAGCATCTTATCCTATAACTCAGGCAGTCCTCAGACTTTCAGTGATCCTCCTGTCTTAGCTTCACAAACACAGGAATTACAAACATGAACTACTACAACTGGCTAAAAAAACACCTATTTTTTAACATACACTTTGGCATACAGTTGAGGCAGGAAGCTCTCCAACTCAAGGCCAGCCTATATGTAATCAAGAACTCATCTCAGAAAAACAAAGAACAAAAAAACAAACACAAGAAAAAGGGAAACTCTATCCTGGTAAAACACCAACTAAGCCTGGTTTTAACTCACTCTTTTTTTTTTTTTAATTGATATAGAACAGTAAAGACTTTTCCATTTGAAACACTTCAATAAGCTAGCAGCTGAATACTGTCATCTGTTTTAAGAAAAAGAAGCGAGCAAGTTCATTTGGGACTCTAATAAACCAGGATGTGTATATATTCAACTCAAGTTTCAAGTGCCAAGAGAACTGGCATCTTATGTAGAGAATGAGTTTTAAAAGAATGTATTGTTTTTCTATGTTAATAAGGATACACAAAGATCCTAACAGTCTTTTATAAGTTATATTTCACCAGAATTTGTTTGCAGTAGAGAGATCAATTTACCACCCAATAACAGTCAAATAGTAGAGTTCACTTACAGGTATTTAACAGACAACATAGAAATATTTGACTTAGTACAAATTTCAAATATAAATTTCCTTTAAAATTAGGAATAGTTTCAACCCAAATGAAATGAATAAAGAGTCAAAGTTTTAGCTCAGTAGCAGAGACATGGCATAGACCCTGGGTTCAATAGTCCATATGGCAATCAGTAAATGAATAATAAAAAATAAGTGGGAACAGAAAGATGGCTCAGCAAGTAAAAGTACTTGCTACCAAGCATAGAAGCTTGAGTCTAATCCCACATGCTGGAAAGAGATAAGTGATTTTTGAAAACTGTCTACTGACTTTTTTTGTGCATGTATACACATACTCTAAATAAATATAAAAATAAATAAACAGCATATAAACTTCAAAAATCAATAGATTTCAATAATCTTGGTGTCTATGAAGATGCTTAAGTAAAAAATTTAAGGGCAACATGAACAAAACTCTAGCTAAAAAAAAAATAGATCCTTACAATAAAAATTCCTAACACAGCTAGCTAGGCATGGTGGCTCTCAACTGGAAAGGGAATCTGGAATTCCAGGCCAGCCTGGGTTCTATAGAGTGAGACCCTATCTCAAAAGACAAAAATTACCACACCAAAACAAACCTAACAGTTAAATATCCATCCTCATTTACCCCTCACTTCATCCGTTGAAGCTGTCTTTCTTTCTGTTTTGTGATGGACCTTCTTCATGGTATTTACTCCCTTGAAGACTGCTGAATAATGGGCCCATATTAGAGAATGCAGACCTCTCAGCTAACCAAGAGACAAAAGTTCTTCTAAGGGCCAATGTCCTCACAGCTACTTTGTACGCAGGTGCACCAGCTCAGTACTGTGGACTGTGATCTACTCCTGAAATTGCAGTTTCACTAAAACAGGATACTTGTACAGGATATTCAGTATTTTCCATAAAACCTGTTATATTGTTAAAGTCTCTTTTAAATTGTACGAAAAGTTTGTTCAGGATTGCTAATAAATAACAACATGCTAGGAAAGCTGAACTTCTTTGTTGTACCCATAACAATCTTAATTATCAATATTAGTATTATAGAAATAAGCACTGTAACAAACAGACTTTAGTTCTCTAAACAGATCTAACCGGGCTACTCTACATGGTTCAGAAGGTAAAATGCTGTCTCCCCAAACCTGGTCCAAGTTTGGATCTTAAGCACCCAGGGAAAAGCAATAGTACTCATTTCTGTAATCACTGCAGAAATGACAAGGAAGATGAGAAGTGGAAACTGAGAATCCTTGAGAAGTTCACAGCCACCTAGCCTGGTGTAGAGAACAGTGAAACCCTGTCTCAAACAAAGTGGAAGGTGACATAAAACTCTGCTGACCTCCACAAGTGTACCACAGTACAAGTGGCTCACACACATGAACATGCACACAAAATTATATTATATTTTTTATATATTACACAATAATACAATTATATTACAAGTTAAATTTTTAAAAAATGCAAATTTAATTAAAAAAAAAGTGCAAATAGCCACTGTCTATTCCAATCTTACTTGTCTAATCTTTCTTTCTTTTTTTTTGGGGGGGGGGATTTCGAGACAGGGTTTCTCTGTGTAGCCCAGGCTGTCCTGGAACTCACTCTGTAGACCAGGCTGGCCTCGAACTCAGAAATCCACCTGCCTCTGCCTCCCAAGTGCTGGGATTAAAGGCGTGCATCACCACTGCCCGGCTTGTCTAACCTTTCTACTGAGTTCTATGGTGCAGTTAGCTTTAATTGTATCCTGTTTGTCCAAAACACAATGGGGCTTACCCTTGCTCTGAATTTTCTCTTTGCCTAAAACATCTTCCTCATCATTTACCCTTATACCTTGTTAAAAAACAAGAACAAAAAGAACCCTATCAGATTTTTAGGGCATAGTGAATGGCATTTCTACATGCTTACTATAAAGTATGATATAACCGCCATTCCCACTCTTGAAGCACTACCCGCCCCCCCCCTCGTGTGTGTGTGTGTGTGTGGTGTTTGTGCTCATGTTGAGACCAGAAGTTGCTATCATCCTCAAACACTGTTCATCTTATTTTCTGAGACAGAATCTCTCATTGTACTTGGAGTCCACTGTTTTCTTTAACACTGCTAATTGGTGTTATAGATCAGTTCTCTAAACAATGAGATTGACTGATGCCACCCCAACTCCCCATACCTGATGACCCATATTTGGGTTCTCAGTACCTGTGTAAGAGCAGTAGCACTCATTTCTGTCATCTCTGTCAGAGAGCTACCTGTCTACTCCAACCCATGCTGGGGTTACAAGGCAGCCTTTTATATGGGTGACAGGGAATCTGAACTCAGGTATTCATGCTTGTAGATCAAGAATTTTCTATTTAGCTATTTTTCCACCTCTACCCCACCACCTCTAAGTACTTAGTTTGAAGAAAAACCTGTACCATCATATCCTGTTTTTAGTCTTGGTGTAAAATGTCTGAACAAGCACCAAACTAAGTTTTGTATTTTTTTTACAGAACTTCACATCCAGCTAAAAAAGTACACAACCATCAATCAGTTCAACTAGTTGAATATTTTGTTCCCTCTAAAAACATACCACATAACAACAAAACATTTAAAGAATTTAAGAAACTGTGCTTTTTTCAATAATCCCCTAACGGTAACTTCCATTAATATTTAATTCTCTTAAATAAGCTTTTTAAGTTTTTAGAATTATTTTAAAAAGAACTTGCAACAAATACCAACAAGTATTCTATCAGACTCTTCTGTACAAAATCCACAAACATTTGTTTGCTTATTAAGTAGCTTCAATAAATTGATACTATTATAGTTTGTTTTACAGATGGGGATATGGAAGACTTGTCTCATACTCAAAAGTCTCCCTGAAAGGAGGTAAGGGATCACTTGGTGGTGGGGGTTGAGGGGTGTGTATGTACTAGCACTTGGTAGATAGAGGCAGAAGGTTCAAAGGTTCATGTCTAGCTTCAGCTGCACAGAAGTCTGAAGATAGTCTAAAAACTGTCTCAAAACAAACAAAAACCAAAAATAAAATAGGAACCCATCCCAACAAAAACAAACCAGGGAAAACTGGCCTTTGTGGAGGTAATGACATGAACCTGCCCTGCTCAATAGATGCCCAATCTCTTCAATCAAATGTTTAGACTTTTAAATTAAAAAGTGGTTATTTTTCAAGATAGCTTTTATTAAAGAGGTCTTTCCTTTTTTTAAGTCACAGAAGTTCAACTGACTAGACAGAAACAATTTCAGGATAATATAATTAAGGAAGTTTCATGTACACAATGGGTTTAAAAAATATAAAGCTGCCTATGCTCCCTCAGATGCGAACATCAACTTTGTTTTCATTTTGTAGTGTCTCACTATGTAGTCCAGGCTGGCCTCAATCTTATAATCCTCCTCTTCCTCAGTTTCACAAGTGTTGGAATTGTAGGCATGTGCCACCACATGCAGTCATTTGAGTCCTTCCCTTTCTCTGAAACAACACATTTTTATAACTATGCTTCTGAGCTATATCCTACGACCTAAGTGCCACACCAACTAGCCTCTGTCTCCATTAATCTTGAAGACTTTTCTTTTGTGGCACTCAAGATTTTCTGTTTGTTATTTCACTTTTTCATCTATTAGTTCCCTCTTCTAGATCAAGTTCTTTAGAGATCAGGTCTGAAAATGATTAATACTTATAACACACTGAATATCCTAAATCTTTTTCATATTTATTTGTTTTATGTGTATGGGTATTTTGCTCACATGTATGTCTGTGTACCACATGCATGCCTGGTACCCATGGAGGTTGGCAAAAAAAATCAGATCCTCTGAAACTGGAATTATAGATGGCTGTGAGCCTTCTTGTGGATGCTGGTATGGGTGGCAGGTCCTCTGTAAAGAACAAGTATTCTTAACTACTGAGTCATTTTTCCACCCTCATTCATTTTCTTTCAGTAAATAAAAAAGACAGGATAATCAATAAAATAACTAATGCCATCAGGCAATACACAGAATGAAAAAAAAATGACTGAAGGGGAAGATACTGAGTTTTCTCGTAAAATTGTTTGAAATTCAAAGTAAATGTTTAGGTCACCACCCAAACATTTTCTAGAAATGTCATATTCTAAAAATTCCAAGAGATTAAAAACAGATTTAGGCATCATCTTATTTATGTAAGTCTCTGCAGGATCTCCCTCTCTCTCTCTCCTTCTCTCTCTCCTCCTCTCTCTCTCTC